GCACTTAGTGGCATGAACAGTATGAGGAGCTCAGTGCCTGAGTTTAGCTCTGAACATTGAGACCGGAGCCTATAAAGGTTTCTACAAAGAGGACATCTTCAGTTAAGGTTCACTCACTTGTCCTTTGTAAAGCAAATTAAAAGAAAGGGAGAGAGGCAGCCAGGAAGAAGAAGGGGCGGGGGAGAAAAGAAAAGATCTGCACAAAAGTTGTAGATGTGGGAGTGAAAAGCTGGGTTATTCAGGAGCTATTTTAGGCCACTGGGTCTGGCAATTGTTTGGATGTGGAACACAAAAGGGACAAAGGTGTCAAGGATGACTCACATTTCCAGTCAGTCTAAGGGGATAATGCCAGTGACAATGACCAAAATGGGTAAGTTGGAAAAAGCTGGTTTGAGGAAATAAAGCAGGCAGGAAGGCGAGGAATCATTCGGGTTCAAACAAGGGCTTTGCCATTCACCATTGGTGCACTGGTGGGTAGCTTGTTTCTGTAAGCACAAGTAATCTCCCTGAGTCTCAGTTTCCCTTGTTCTCAAATGGCACAGCACTCAGACCATAGTAAGTACTCCATCCATGTAGGCAGTTATAGTTATCAATTTAGAATTACTAGGCTGTGATTCCAGTGACAGAGGCCATACCCCATCATGAGGAGTGTTGGTTACATACAACCAGGTATGCAAAGGTCTGAAGCTGCCCTCCAAACCAAGGCGCCAGTGGGAAGATGGCGGAGAGTTAATCAGACCCAGCTAAGTGTTCACTCTGCTCAGCCCCAATATAGAACCTGGGTCTCAAACACAAAATCCTCTGTCCAAAAGCCCACAGGAAAGATTGTGCCAGAAGAGAGATGGAAAAGGCTGGGGAAGAACTGAGAGTATCCATTTGTGCCTGAGTTGTAAAGCTCTGTAACCCCTGTCCATAAACGGAAGATCATTTTGTTCTTGCTGATATATTGATTTAAGTAATCACATATGTATACATTTTAGATCCTCAGGCCTTGGACTGCTTGAGGGCAGAATGAATTTGCTTTTTATTCCTTCCTTAGTCTAAATGTGCTGTCTGCCCACAGGTGGTGATAAGAGGGAAACTTGATGTGTTAATATCAAAAGGTGATGGCTTCTACCTCAGACAGGTTGGTGTTATCAGCCTGGTCTAGGTATTTAGAAGAATGACTATGTACCTCTGTCCTATGGCAGGCCCAGGTAGAGAGAGGCCCACCCAACTGGGACCTGCTGACCTCCATGCTTTGGATATCCCTGACAACACTGATCTAATTGTGTGCTTCCTCAGTGATGACCACCTAGCCCTGCAGTTGGATGCCTGTGCCCTGCCAGGTGGTCATGGAAAACAGCATTGGGTAGGAGAGCACTACCAGCTTGAGGGATAGTGCTGAGGCTTGTCCTGTAGCAAACTCACTCAATCCAGCTAAATCCTGATGTGAACTGATTTATTTCCTTTTGGACTGTGCATAGGGCATTCAAGAGAAGAAGCTACAGCTTAATACTAGTACTTTTCTCAGGTGTTTTATGTAGGATGTTTAGTATGTGAAACACGTAAAACTAGAACTGACCTAATTCCAGAAGGAACCAAGGTTGGGATAGGGGAGGAGAGTGGAATCCCTGCTGCTGAGTCTTATCTCAACACCCAAGGTAGTCTCTAAGGCCTCCATGATTCCTTTCAACAGTGGAAACCACTGATAGACTATAAGGCAGCCCTAGCTTCTGCTTGTAGAGCTGCTATTTCTCAGCTGCGTGGCTCTGAAAAAGCTGTCTGAGCTCTCTGTCCCTTGGTTTCCTTATCAGTCAAATGGGTTTGATAAACTCTATCCTAAGTGAGGGTGGAGGAGTGGTATTGGGGATAATAAAATAAAAAAGAACTTTGTGTGTTGTTAAAAAGATTTTCCAGTTAAAAGAATACTGATAAACATTTTCTGTAGTGCTGGCTTAGCAGTCATGAATTCTTTAAGTTTATGCTTCTCTTGGAAGATTTTTATTTTTTTCTTCAGTTCTGAAAGATAGTTTTGCTGGATATAGCAATCTTGGTTGAAAATTATTTTTCTGGCTTATAGAGTATCTGCTGAGAAATAAGAAGTAATTCTGATTGGCTTACTTTTAAGTGTTACCTGATGTTTTTCTCTTGAAAACATTTTCTTTTAAATTTCTATCCTTGACTAGGGGAAAGGAGGATGAGGGGGAAAGGGCAAGTACTGGGGTACAATATTGGCTAAATTACATTGTTATATCATGGGCATATATGAATATACAATAAATTCACTGCTCCTCCTAGAAGGTGAGGCAGCTGAAAGGAGACTCAAACCAGGACTTTCCAGGTAGCTGCCACAGCCCCTCACCAGATCCTCCACCTCCACCAAGATTTTGTCCCGGAGGATGTAGAAGAGGAAAGCAGCCTGGATCTCCTGCTCCTTCTCTTATCTTCCTTAGCTGTGTTCTTCTCTGTTGGTGGTACAGGTGAACAGAGCAAAGACAAGAAGGGCCACAACAGTCTCTGGGGCCAAAAGTGAATATGGTAACATCTAGACCTGTTCCCAAGTGGTAGTGTCTATAAAACCTATTTTAGTCATTTTTTTTTTCAGCTGTGACTAAAAGACCTGACCAGAGCAATTTTATAGGAGGAAAAATTTATTTGGGGACTCCCTATTTCAGAGGTCCCAGGCTCCATTCCTCAGGGCTTGAGCTGAGGCAGAACCTCATGGCAGAAGAGTGTGGTGGAGGGAAACATGATGATCAGAAAGCAGAGAGAAGCTCCACTTGCCAAATACAAAATATATACCCCAAAGGCACGCCCTCAATGACCCTCCTCCTCCAGTTATACTCTACCGCTTCAGTCACCATCCAGTTAATCCCATCAGGGGATTAATTCACTGATTGGGTTAAGGCTTTCATAACCTAAATATTTTTCCTCTAAACCTTCTTGCCTTGTGTTACACGTGAGCTCTTGGGGGACACCTCACATCCAAGACTTGTCCAAGCACTGCTTACTGTGGTCTCATCAGAACATCCTAGTATTTAATATTCTCCACAAGTGGACTGTAAAACCATTTCCAAATCAGAGACTAGGACTTGACACTGGCCTAGAAAGCTGAAATACTCTTTTCCAAGGAAGGGGACTAAGGAGGGAACCAAAACCTGCTGTCCCATTATTTCCAGTAAAGACACTTATAGTCTTTATCTCCATGTCCCTGGCCTGACTTCACCATAGTGTTTCTGTCCCTTCCTCCCTGCCCCCTTTCCCAGCACTGCTCAGCCATACATGGTCCAGATGCCTACAGCGTTTGTTTCTTTGTATCTCCATGAAGAAGTCATTGATAAGCTGCACAGAACCTGGGGTTTTCATGTGTTGGTTCACACAAAGACAGGAGAAAGAAAGAAGTCAACAAATTGTGCTGATTAAATGATGGGCCTCCCCAGCCTGCCTCCTTTCCTTGCCAGAAGTAAGAAGGCCAGGGAAGGGATGGTGCTCCCATTATTCATCCTGCCTCAGAACCACTGTCCTTCTATGTCTGGATCAGAAAGACATAGGCATCGGGACAGGAACAAGATGGCACTTAGGCTGACATCTTGCCCCTACGTACCTGCCAGGAGCTGAGGGAGCCAAGCAGGCTTCCCTGCCAAAGTTCCTCTTCTGTACTTTGTGCACAAATTGGGTCAGTTGGGAGTGTACCCAACTACAATAATAAATCTGGTCATAAGTAGGGAACTTCAAAGAGGGGACTTTAACATCCCAAAACATTCTCTGAACTTTGAGTCTTACCATGGCCCAAGAGCCTGAGGGAACAGGGAGTGGCTGCAAATGCATACATCTGAAGCAAGGTAACATCATCCCACATGCCTCTCATCTACCAGGGGCCATGGGACTACCCAAGCCACCACAACTCTACAAGTTCAAAGGGATACCCACAGCTGCAACTCCTCCCATTAGTCAGGTTCAGCCTCTAATCCAACTCCTTTCGAGAGCTTGGTGTCCGTAGAAAAGCTATTGCCCCTGAGTGCTAATCTTAGCATGGCAAAGATCACTTAGCTGGGGAGAGCATGTCAGAGGACACACATCCCCACAAAGGGAGAGACAGAGGCTAAGCCAGATACTCTCTATTGTGAGATTTAGAGAATGAGGAGAGAGAAAAAGAGAAAAATAGGAGGAATGAAACCTACTTTCAATAGAAATCAGAAGGCTTGAAGAAATTCAAGTATTTTTTAAAATATTTTTTAGTTGTCAATGGACCTTTATTTTATTTATTTATATGCAGTGCTGAGAATCAAACCCAGTGCCTCACACATGCTAGGCAAGTGCTCTACCACTGAGACACAACCCCAGCCCCAAATCCAGGTATTTTTAAATTTGAGAAGTGTCAGAGCCATATATACGTCACTGCATTCAATACAAGTGAAAACATGAGCAGGAAGAAAAGAAACTGCCATAAGGGAGTCAAAGGACAGGGTGCTCTAGCTTGCCCCACCTCTCATCTTCCACCATCACAGCTTCTAGGGACAAAACTATGGGAGTCTATGGCCCAGAACAGCTATGCCTTGGTGCTCTGGGGCAACAGGCCTCTCCAGGGGCCTGTCCCAGCCTGCAAAGATAGCAATGAGAGTTCAAGCTTTGGGCCTGGGGAGCCACAGAGTCTGTAGATTGGAAGCTCTTTATCAACAGGAAGTTGCGAAGCAGATGGAGCAACTTTTTTTTTTTTCCACAAATGGAGCACAACTTTTCATTTCTCTGGTGGTACATGATGTAGAATGTGCAATCATACCCATACACAGGGGTAGTAATGTCCAATAATTTTACCATCTTCCCCTCCCCTCCCCCCTCCTTTCCCTCTTCTAAAGGAAGTAGCAAGGAAACAGTTAAGTTATATGTACCAAATAACAATACTTTTTTTTTTTCAGAGCTGGATATTGAACTCAGGGTCTCATGCATGCTAGGCAAGGGCTCTACCACTGAGCTACACCCCAATTCCCTAAGATACCAGACCCTCTGATGTCACATACCGAAGCATGTGCTTGGCTGCAGACTTGGGCTGCAGAATGTGGCAGGTTTGCTGCAGGTGCTCTTCTCACTTCCTCCTCAGGCCTGCTCCTCCTAGAAGGCGAGGCAGCTGAACGAAGACTCAAACCAGGACTTTCCAAGGTTTCTGCCACAGCCCCTTGCCAGATCCTCCATTTCTTCAGGTCTGGCCTTGTTGATCAGCACAGGAAACTTGTATTCTCCCTCCCAAAGATTCACTTTCCATCACAATCCCTTCCCTGGCCTTCTTACTTCTGGAAAGGAAAGGAGGCAAGCTGGGGAGGCCCATCATTTTTTTTTTTTCATTTTATTTTTCACTTTTCATTCCTTAATTGAGTTTGCAGCCCCTGAACCACATTGCCAATGGCAACAGTTAGGTTCTTTTCTCAGATGAGTAAAGAATGGGAACTCAGGTGAGTAATGACTGAGGGAGCCCTGTTGACAATAGCTGTAAAAAAACAGCAAAGAGCACCATCATTCAAGAAAACTGCTGTAAGGGCTAAAGGCCATGCAAAGACAGAGAAGATGGAATACCTACATCTTAGAATCAATCCAAAATAATCATGGAAACTGTTGCCTTGATCACTCCCATTTTTTATCACCCCATCCCAGATCTCAACTTTTTAATTTAAATTTATTTTATTTTATACTAGGAATTGAATCCAGGAATCTTAACCACCCAGCCACATCCCCTTTTATTTTTTATTTTGAGACAGGGAATCACTAAGTTGCTGAGGCTAGCTTAGAATTTGTGATACTCCTGCCTCAGCCCCCCAAGTCACTGGGATTACAGATGTGGGCCATCACACCTATCCCAGGTCTCACCTTCTATTGCTCTACCAAGTCACTTTCTTTTTTCTTCTTCACAAATTGGGGAACCCAGTCCAGTCCTCCATCAGGCATCAGGTATCAGGTTTAATTTTTCAGGGACTCTTTTTTGGTAGGGAGAAGAGGGAAACCAGGACAGGTCTTTCCCATCACCGAAGGAGGCAGGTTCCAGGAAACAGTTTCTTCTCGATATTTCTTCTGTTCAAGGTCATGAGCCCTACAAATGAGAGTTAAGAACTTTTCCCTCAGAAGGAAAAATGACCTTCAGAAATGGAGGCAAAAAGCAAAGCTTCCCTAATGACTTCCCCCATGTTAATAAGGGCTTCAAAAATTAGAGGATGCTCTAAGACTATGTAGAAGAGGAAAGAAAGGGAATTAGCAATATATTAGCTAATAAAAGGAGGGAAAGGAAGAAATAAAAATTGGGCTTAAGAAGCAGGAAAGAATTCTTTCTAATTATATAGCTGGCCATTCTAAAAAAAATTTAAAGTGGTTTATCGGGTTATATATAAGTAGTGCAAATTAACATAATTAGACAGTGGTAAGAAATTACATAAATAGTGCCCCAAAGAATTAAGGCCTAATACTACATAGTATGAAATCCCATATACTTGCCAAGGGGGATACACTTGTCTCTAAGCTTCAATGAAACTGAAGTGCAGCTATATTTTGATCAGTCACATGACTCCTAGTGTTTAATTTTTTTTAAAGCAAACCAATTGCTCTTGAAACTATATTATTGATTTAAAGATCAGAAATTTCCCCTGTGGATCCTTGGTATGTTTTGAATTATATCCCCTCAAAATCTCTATGCTGCAGTTCTAACCCCAGGATCTCACAATCTGACCTTATTTGGAAGTGGGATCATTATAGAAATAATTAGTTTAATCTGTTAAGATGGACCTTAGTCCTTTATAAAGACTAGCATCCTTGTCAAAAGGGGGAAATTTGGATGCAGACATGGAAAGAAGGAAGAGAAATGATAAGACACAGGAGAAGAGGGCCATCTATACACCAAGAAGAGGGTCCTAGACAGATCCTTTTGTCAGGCCCTCAGAAGGAACCAACCCTGCTGACACCTTGATTTCAGACTTCCAGCCTCCATATTTTGCAAAGTAATAGATTCCTGTTTTTAAGCCCTCTAGTCTGTCGGACTTTGTTATGGAGCTTTGTAAACTGACACAATTTTTCTAGAGAAGAGACTGCAGTGGGTCCTATAGGCTGCTGCTCCTAGGGTCCTAGGTGGTTCAAGTAAGTATCTGGAGGACCAAGACCTTCTGCTCAGGTAGTCAGCTCTCTGAACCTGATCAGCCCAGAGGCATCCCCAAGTATCCAGAGTAGGGTTTTGAACCTGTTCCAGGTTGGGTGCACTGTGGGTACAGCCTGTGAGCATAGTGTGGGGAAATGGGCAAAATAGAGGGTAGGCATTAGATGCCATAGTCAAGCTACCTCGGTTACATCCTGGCTCCTCTGCTTATCAGCTCTGGTCCTCTGGCTATCTCTCAAGGTTCATTTCCACATATGCAAAAAAAGAATGATAATAGTAGATCCCTTCCTCATAGAGTTGGTGCAAGCATTAACTTAGTTAATACACATAAAGGTTAATAGCTACAGCAGGATCAAAAGAATACATGAGGAGCTGGGGTTGTGGTTCAGTGGTAAAAGTGCTTGCCTAGCATGTGTGAAGCACTGGGTTTGATTCTCAGCATCACATATAAATAAATAAAGGTCCATTGACAACTAAAAGAAATATTAAAAAAAAAGAATACCTGGTATATAATAAGTGAGCAATCGGAGTTAGATATTTTTTGCCATTATCAAGTAGTAGTAGTAGTAGTAATAATAATAATAATAATAATAATAATAATAAAATTATCATTATTTTGAGACATGGAATCTATCAGCCCCCACCAAAATCTTAAAAGTTCTCATTCCAGAATGATACTTCTGATAAGTGGCTGGATCACACAGCTTTAGAAAAGGCCAAATGTACCATTTCTCTCAGCTTTGGACAGACACTTATGGCAAGCTCTGGGCAGCACTTCCCAGCAGAATCCAGGGACAACCATTCTGTGCTGCCTGTGAGATGAGGAGCCATAGGCTTTAGCTGCCACTGGACTGGGACAGGCATCAGTGACCTGGTTACAGAGCCTCTTCCCTCTTCTTGAAAGTGAACTGAGGAAGTTCCTGAGGGAATGGTTAAATTTATCTTCCAAAATCAATCCTGGATGCTCTCTTAACACAAAGACTAAAGGACAACTGAGGCCCCACAGTTCTATATCCTATAACAAGACAATAAAAATTGTAGGTGGAGGGGACTGGAAATGTATCTCAGTAGTAGAGAACTAGCCTAGTGTGTGTGAGACTGCTGGTTCAGTCCCCAGCATTGCAAAAGAATTTTTTTAAAAATATAGGCTTTGAGCCTATTAAAAGACTATAAAGTGCATGCCTGTAGCACCAGTGATTTGGGAGGCTAAGGAAGGAGGATGGCAAGTTTGAGGCCAAGCTCAGCAACTTAACAAGATCCTGTCTCAAAAATTTATAAAAGGGTAGGGGGTGTAACAGTAAACTGCTCCTGGGTTTAATTTCCCATACCAATTTTAAAAAAATCTGTATAATGAAATGTTTACCTCAGTCATAAAATAAACTTAATATAATAGTCACAGAACATCTAGCTTTGGGCATTATTATTTCATGAAGTACCATACCATGTAGAACAGTTATGAAATTTATGCCAAGTAAATTCATTCATTCTAAATGCCTGGTTGTAGGAGTGCTGGGCTTGTGCCTGGGCACACAGAGGTGCAGAACCCCTTGATAACACCTGCAGACACAGGAATAACATACATAGTGAGGGAGGAGGAAGGCCAGACTAGAGCAGATAGAGGGGAACCAGCTCCTCAGGCCAGTTCCCAAGCACTCTCAGATACCCTGTCAGGCCTGAATTCCAAGGCAAGAGTTTTGAGGGGCCTTCCCCACAGAAACCAAGTGGCTTCAGGGGAAAACCTACAGATTTATCCATATCAAGAGACTGCCACAGGCTAGCCTGTGGCGTAGACACTTTGATCAGCCTGATAGTTCCAGTCAATAAACACCAACAGGAGACCACCAAAGTCCACCCATACCAGGAAAGTTATCACTGAGACTGAGGGGAAAAAAAAAGAAAACACACAGGAAAGTTATCGTTGAGACTGAGGGAAAAACAGAAAACACACAAAAAGAGACAAAGCAGGCGGGGAAAGCTTCAAAATGCCAATATAACAGAAAGATGTTTCCATGAAACATAAATAGGATACTATTTTAAGATCAGAGAATAAGGACAAGTTTTAGAAAACAAGGATATGATAGCAGATATAACATGAATAGTAACATTGGACAATAAAATACAAAAAGAAAGGAAAAAAATATCCAGAGAATAGAATTTAAAGCAAAAACAAATCCAAACAAAAACAAATCAGGGCTGGGGTGGTGGCTTAGTGGTAGAGCATTTGCCTAGTATGTGTGAGACACTGGGTTTGATTCTCAGCACCTCATATAAATAAAGAAATAACATAAAGGTCCATCAACAACTAAAAATAAAATTTAAAAAAACCCAACCAACCAAACAAACAAAAATTAGGGTTCCCTAAGAAAAGGGCAATTATAAGAAATATAACTACAGGATTAACCAGGAGATCTAAAACACAATGAATGGGGGCACAATGCAAGAAGAATATTGTCAAATATGAGAGAAAAACACAAGAAGAATATTGTCAAATATAAGAAAATCTTTCAGAACTGAAAGGTAGCAACCTCCGGTTTAAAGAGACTATCAAGTTCTCAGGACCGGAACTCAAGCACACATACATCAGGTCCATCAAAATGAGATTTTAGAACACAGAGGATAAAGAAAAGATCCAGAAAACTTAGAGAAGAATAGGATCAGGTCACAAAGGACTGAGATGTTGACTGTCACTGGATTTCTCAACAGCAATCATGGAAATTATTTTCAAGCTAGAATTATATACCCAACCAAACTATCAATATCAATCAAATGAAGGGCTGGGATTGTGGGTTAGTAGTAAAGCGCTTGTCTAGCATGTGTGAGGCCTGGGTTCAATCCCCAGCACCATTACAAAAAAATAAATAAATAAATAAAAATAAAAGTCAATCAATCAAATGAGAAGGCAGAATGAATATATTTTCAGACTAGCAAACCCTCAAATACTTACCTTTTATGTAACCTTTCTCAGGAATGTGCTCTACCAAAATAAGGAAGTCAACCAGGAATATATGGAATCTAGGAAACACAGAATCTGACACACACACAAATAAATAATAAGAAAAACATATGTAACAACATGGATGAATTCCCAAAATATCATGCTGGCTGAGTAAAAGGGTATCATACAAGTACACACAAAAGAATATAGACTGTATGATTCCTTTCTTATGAAGTTCTAGAAAGAAAACTAATCTATAGAGACAGAAAATGGATTAATAACTCTCGGGGGCTGGAGGGAGGGTGCAGTATGTGTTAGGTGTTTGGAGTGGAGGAGCAGCAAGGACCAACAGCAAAGAAACTTTGGGGGGGCGGTGATGGAAATGTGTTGCATCTTGATTGTGGTAATGGCTGTATGAATGTTTACATCTGTCAAAACTCACAGAACCTGTGGACTTAAAAGTGGTATATTACAAGCATTTTGGGGGTTGGGGTGTAGTTCCATGGTAGAGGGCTGAGGTTAATACCAATACCAGTGTCACACCCCCAAAAAATGTTACATTTTATTGTATGTCAATTATACTCAAAGTTGATTTTTTTAAAAAAGAGGTTGGGAAATCTAGGATTTTCCCAGAAAAGCTGTGAAGTGGATCTCAGGAGCTACTAACTCAGGTTAGAGGAAAGGACAAAAGCTTCTAGAAGGAGGTCTCCAGGGAAAAACTGGAGCTGTGATTGCTGTGCCTGAACTATGTTCCCCCAAATTCATATCTGAAACCCAGCCCCTCATGTGACTGTATTGCAGTCTGAGTCTTCAGGGGGTGATTAAATTTAAATGAAGTTGTAAGTGTGGTGCCCTGACCCCACAAAACTGGCATCTTTGTAAAAAGAAAGAGACACCACAGATCTCCTTCTCTCATCTCTCCATGAGGACATAGGGAGAAAGCAAACATCTACAAGTCAAAAATATAGCCCTCCTTGGAACCCAAACCCTGCCAGAACCTTGATCTTTGACTTTCCAAACTCCAGAACTGTGAAAAACAAATCTCGGTTAAGTCATCCAGTCTATGGCATTTTGTCATGGCAGCCTAAGCAGACTAAGAGTCATTTTCTGAGAAGCCATTAAATGGTGTGGGAGAGACTGGCATAAGTATATTAAAAACGAAACATAATTTTAAAAGGCAATTATTAACTTTAGAAAATCAAAATATATTGTTTGCAGAAAAAAATCACCATTATAACATACTACTTGTTATGGTTTAGATACAAGGTGTCCCCCCCAAAGCTCATGTGTGAGACAATGCAAGGTTTAGAGGAGAAATGAGAGTCTTAACCCAATCAGTGAATTAATCCCCTGATAGGGATTAACTGAGTATGTAACTGAAGGTGGGTATGGTGTGGCTAGAAGAGGTGGATCACTGGGGATGTGACTTTGGGATATATATTTTGTCTAGTGAAGGAAATCTCTCCCTCTGCTTCCTGGTAGCAGGTCTGAAGTCACTTCTCTCCACCCTACTCTTCTTCCGTGATGTTCAGCCTCACCTCAAACCTCAAAGAATGAATCCTGCCTTCTATGGACTAAGACCTCTGAAACCATGAGCCTCTTCTACAATTGTTTTTCCTCTACATAAATAAACTTTTCCTCTTCTACAGTTGTTCTAGTTGGGTCTTTCAGTCACAGCAGAGGAAAAGCTGATTAAAACACTACTTAACTTAGCAAAGACTATAAACCTGTAACTATATTGGAAGGATGGGGCCAGGGAGGGAAAAAAGAGAGTTGTCTTACCTATCATAATAGGCAGGCACCAGCAACAAAACACTATAAATCAAGATAAGGTAGCAAAAGCTCATAGCTTAGATATAGGTTATGCAAGTCTGTTTCTTAAGAAACCATTCAATGTCCTCCAATAAAAAATATATATACGAAAAACAAACCATTCAATGAACTGAAAGTGCCTACCCAAGGAATTGTTTGATAAATCTGACTTCTTTAATGACATAAATTATTATTTGATTTAATTTTTTTAAAAAAATTACTGTAAACAAAAAAGGAGGATATATTCAACAATATCAAACATTATGAGTGGTTAAGTAATGACCTGAAATAGCCAAATCTATTAATTAGAAAGACACTACTCACTCCCCAAAATACTTCAGTGGGTTGGTAGGGGAAGAAGTCACATGGCACTGGGTTTTATTGGCAAATAAGAATGCCAGCTGGGCACAGTGGTACAAGGCCAGCAGTTTCAAGGCCAGCCTTAGCAACTTAGCAAGACCCTGTCTCAAAATTTTTTAAAAAATTAATAAACAGGCTGAGGATGTAGCTCAGTTGTGAAGCATCCCTATGTTCAATCCCCACCAAAAAAAAAAAAAGAAAGAAATAAAAAGAAAAAAGCCCAAACCAAAAAAATACTATCCCCAAAAACCACACACACTATTGTCGTGATCCATTCTGTTCATTGGTAGCACTTATTCCCTCCCACTCACTGTATTTGAAGGCAAAATAGAGTTGACAATCCTCCTATCTCAGGAGACCTGTGTGTCATCTCAAATAAAGGAGATGCATTTCCTCAATGAGTGAGATAAAAGGGATGAATCACTGTCTTT